TACTTAACTTGGAACTTGAGCCTTAGAATGAAGTTAAAATGTTCAATAAAAACTCTTGAACAACTTTAAGAACTTGCTTGACTTACTTCTTAACTCTTGAACTTAACTCTTAACTTCACTTGACTTCTAACTTCACTTGACTTGGAAGCTAAACTCTCCTTGAATTGGATTTATGGATTCAAGGTGTTTGATCACATGTTACGGATGAGTTCGGGAGGTTTAAATGTACCTTAGAGTGTTGAAAACAACTATAAAACATAGGTACAATACCAAGGAACATGCATGGGAAGGTATGAAATGAAAGGGAACACTTGGTGTCCTTGGCGCTCTGCAAGGCGCGGAGCGCCAGCCCCAAAACTTCAGAGGGGGTCTGCTGGCGCTCTGAGAGGCGCGCCGCCCCAAGGGGAAAACTTCATAATCCCTTTTAGGGCGCGCTGGCAGGCGCGATGCGCCAACCTCCTTGCCCAGAAACTCGACTTTTCTCCCTTTTTTTCCAACTTTAAACCACCCTAACTCCAAAGGTTTCAACCCCAACCACTAAGGATCATCAAATCCCTCAATATACAATAGAATACAACTCAAAAACCAACCGGAAACATGTCCCAAATCACAAGGGACTTCAACAATACCAACAACAACATCAACAACACAACCAACAACTCCAAACAACACAACCAATCTTTTCTCAAAATAAAAGGAGTTTGATGTGTGGGGTAAAGGATCAACCCAACACTAACTACTCACATACCTAGTAGGGATCACCCCTGACGATTTCCACGATGATCTTTGACGGAAACTCCTTGATCTCCTTTTCTTCTTCTTCTCTTATTTCTCTCTTCTTCTCTTTTTCACTCAAGAACTGTAATGACCCTCTTGGTCATTTATGTGTCTTGCCTTCTATGTGTCGTTTAGAGCGTTCCTATAGTGACCCCAAGTCTATTTTATGACTTGCTGGGATTGACAGTTCGGTCACCTGGTCGTTCGTTTGGTCTTGGTGCGAGTTTTTGTGTTTTGGAGCTTATGAACCTTGAATATCATTTTCGATCAAAAGTTTAAGAAGATGACATCAGAATCCAATTCTGACGATTCCATCAGCTCCGGAAGGGTCATTTTAGGCTAGTAGCATGGTCGACATGACTCCCGAGGTTTTCAGTGTGAGTCGGTGCGATTAGGCGTTTTAGCCTTTGAAATTTAGCCTAAGTTTGACTTTGGTCAACATTCTGAGTAAACGCGCTCGGATGAGAATTCCGTCAGCGTGGTTAGCTCTGGAATGTCAAGTTTGGTCTAGATTGACCCTTCTTTTGTGTCTGGAGGTTTTCGATATCTTTCCGAGCCCTTTTGTGGGTTTTGACTTAAAATGACTTTTGGAAATGGGACCCATTTTTTATCAAAATGACCTATGATGGAAATTTCGACTACGTCGTTGAGTCTTAAATATCGAATTTGGTATGGTTGCATATTTCATTTTCGTGCACGGGGTTCCGAACGAGATCGGAGCACCCTGTCGGAGTTTTAAGTTTTGGAAATATTTTGCAGATTTTCTGCAATAAATGCAGAAAACCAGCAACATTTTCCAAAACT